TTGTAATATTTCTTTCGTTGTTATTATTGAACTGTTATTGTATGCAGAGTTATGGAATTTTGTAAATATATTGTGGTGTGTCAGTATTTTTATTTTTATTTTTACTTTTCGGCTAAAAAATATTCTTTTGTGTTGATTTTTTTTAAGTTTTGAAAATTACTTTGTAGTTATAATCTTAAACTTTTTCTGTTAGAGCTCAAAAAAATACTCTGTTCTTACTTTCCCTTTGCATTACTATTATCGATCTATTTTCCCTTAAGCGTTCTTGAAAAAATACTTTGTTCGTGTGTTCGTCCGTGTTATCGTTACTACGTATTTCCCGCGAAAACTTCATCTGACAACTAAATTCCAGGAGGAAGTCGGGCATCAGTTTCCATGGCAACATAAACACACATTTGGCGGGAGTTTTACGCGCCAAAGATAATAATTATTTACCTCTACGCGCCAGATAAAATACATAGTGATATTGATAAGTTATTGCGCACCAAAATACAATAAATGTATATCATTAAACAAAATTACCCTTAACATTAGTTCTTGTCAGAACTAAAGAAATAGTTCATCATCATTACACGTCAAAAGAAGATGAATTATTACCCATCCACACATTGGCTTACAGTATTTTACGACCGAAAATCGATGAACCAATATAAACAAAAATTAGGTCAAGCAATAAATCGTCAGTGAATGTAAATGAAGGGAGAGTTTACAGTGTGTAAATAAACCAGGCCAGAGTGCTGGGCGCCAGGAAAACATAGATTGTTCTCTGCTGTAAACATATTAATTTTGCAGCATATTACACAGCAGGTCGGTGGAAGGGGAAGAATGACCTAGCTGTTTGTGTGTGTGTGTGTGTGTGTAAATTGATATAAAATTGAGGTACAAAGGCAATTAAGTACTAGCAGGTGTTGTGAATAGTCGCACACTGGTAGAATAAGTATGTTAACTCTATGATGCTTATTGTACGCGCCAAAACAATCACTTAATAAAGCAAAAATACAAGAATTTAGCTGAAAAAAATCATTGTTATTCTTCACAAACAGATTAAAATCGGTTAAATCTTACAAACCATCCAACACACCAGGAGTAAATGACCACCCAGTTATCGATACCTAAACGATCAGCTGAAAAAATAAAAGAATTTGGCGCGAAAGAATAGTCGTGGCAATTTATAAACAGACCAGGCTAACTAGAAATCATTTTTCTCGTGGCCATAAACACTGAGGCGTCCTAGAGTATTCCATTACAACACTGAATAATTTAATACATATTAAATGTAATCGATTGTAATTACATGGGATCACACACACACACAGACAGACAGACAGACAGACAGACAGACAGACAGACAGACAGACACTCTGTTCCCAAAAACGTATAAGAAAAACATTAAACATGTGAACTGCACAGGTAGATTCAGATCACAGGTAATATAATCGACCACAGCATTACAGTTGTGTGATCGTATTTCACACACCTGCCTCGTAAACATTGTAATCCTGACACCTTCTATAAATATTTGATAACCTTTTCTGAGAATCTGTTACTACTTTGACCAGTGTATAACTTTTAAAGTACTCAATATAATATATGATCACAAGTAATATTTAATATAAGTTTTATCTTAGTTTACAAAGTTATCACATTATCCTTAAGACCCTTTTTACGGAAATTTACAACATTGATGGATATATAGTAGTTTACAAATATTTTTTTACAAATATTTGGTAAATCAGTTTTTTTTTCTGGTTTGGAAAAAATAGAATCAAATTGTATTATTAAATAAATTTTTACAGATATTTTCAGCGTTAACTTATAGAAATTATATTGATTTTTACAAACTTTTCTCTTGTTATTTGCACTAATGTTTAATCAATGTTTTTGTCTGTAAGGTACAAGAGTTACCCTTTAATCTTGTGGTCCATTTTCGATATTCGATGCCCATGAATATTTCAAGAGTTGCTTTACAAACTCTGGGAAGCACAGTAAGCTTGGCAATGAGAGGCATTCAGCGGCGGTCAGCAGTGCTCATCAGCTCAGAGGCAAAGGGAGATAGTTATAGTTAGTGAGAGGTGGTCATCGGCAGTCAGAGGCAGTCAGACGGAGACAGAAGCAGTAAGAGTCAGTAAGAGGTAATCAGAGTGGGCAAAGGCAGTCAAGGGTGGTCAGGCGGCAGTGAGAGTCAGCAGAAACAGTTAGAGGTAGCCAGGATGGTCAGAGGGAGACAGAGTCAGTTAGAGGCAGGTAGGGTGGTCAGAGGCAGTGAGAGGCACCATTTAGTGGCACCCTCAGACAGCAATAGTCACTCGAATAATCTAAGACTCGCTAATCCGTTTATTTATTACTATTGGTCGAGGTCCTTCAGCTGCCAGGGCTGTTAGACAACATTCACCAAGATACAATTTCACTCAACCTAACACAGAAAACGACCTGAGTATCTCGTGTACAAAAACACGTATTTATAGACTAACAGTAAACTCTACTTTTCTGCCATCTACAATAGTTACACCTTGATCTGCTGTTCCATTTTCTAACTTCGATATACGTAAATTTTTTAGTAAGGCCATAAAACATAAAATATTGAGAATTCTTGACTAATCTAATATATACTATACTGTATATGTTTATTGGCAGATATTCACACTAAAGTAAACCCTATATCCTGAGGTCCATTTTCTAAGTCTGTAAACATTACAAGTAGAAGACAGAACAAGGCAGGTAGTCAACTTTAATCATTGAAGTTTATGGTAAAACAAAATCCACATCGTAATGTTCAATTGTCGGGTTTCTGTGATTAACAACAGTTACTCCTTTGATCTTGAGTTACATTTTCAATTTTCGCCTCTCATGAATATATTTAAAGGTAGATAGAAACATTCGAAGCCAGACCAGCCACAGTAATATATCACCATCACTGTACTTTATGATCAATGTAAACCACACACTAATAACTCCATCCCAGTTCTCTATAATTTATTAAACTTACCCTTGAATTCTAAACTCCATTTTCGAAATCCAAAACTCTCATGAATATTTCCGTAGCTCCGTGAAACACTCCACCGGGGAGACTTAACAGGGGCTGGGAGTTAATAATTTGTGTGTTGGTAGATAAGTTACTGCTGGCTCGCTCACTGGCCATTAAGCTTGACGTGGTGGCGGTCATAATAATGCTCGCTGGCCCTGTGTGGAGACTTATGAGAGGTCGATGGTCATAACTCTCTCTCGGGGAATGTCATAATACCTCCTCTCTCCCACGCTTTACCTGCTCGCACCTGTAATTTTATGCTACTTACGTTACCTTTTGTTTACTCTGGTAATATGAATGTGTGTGTGTGTGTGTGTGTGTGTGAACGTTTTCTTTAATCATCTCGGGTTGACCAAGTGGCTTTTGTCCATCTCAACTTCTTTATGCCCTTTCAACACTATTTCAAGTTTCCACCCCTCTCTTATTTTATTACCGGCACTGCACTCAACCACTTTCATTAACCCCAACTGTAAAACTAGGTTCCCACTCTTAGCTGGATCAACTAGGATTCATATCAACGACCCTCAGTCACCTTACTGCAGTGTAAAAGTTAAATCTTCTACTTATACTTATCTATATCGTTAGGGGTTTATAAGCCAATGATCTGATACTTATAATTCACTTTAATTTACTTATATTTCTCAATCGCATTAGTTTATCTTAAAATCTATCCGCTAATTCTCTTACACTTATAATTAACCTCCACTTCAATATGTATTAGAGTCATGAATTCTATGAATAAATTACCATACCTTCAATGAATTAAGTGTTGCCAGTCATTTCCAGTTAGATGGTAAATTATTCTGTTTGTAACACTTCTTTTACATATCATTCCTGGGCCTTTAACCGAATCACATCCTGGCGTCTAACATTCGATCTCTTGTTAACTAATAAAATAATATTGACTGTATAATTGTCAACATCTACGGCATAATTTTATTGATAATGATATAATTAATTCTTGTTACTTAATTCTTCTGGTATTATTATCGTTATACTATCATCATCATATCATCATCATCGTCATCATCATCATCATCAGTAATCTTTATCCAACCGTTAATATAACCTCATCTCTGAATCCATTTTATAAATATTTGCTTATCAATTTTAATTTTATATCTTTCTTCTATCAATTAAGAAACACGTTATTCTACAACTATAATTCATACATAATTGATACTTTTTTTTCTGGATTTAATAGTCAACCAACGGGAACAAAATCACCCCAAAGTATATATGACTCGGTATAAACATATAATATTAATCCCATCATTAACTCAATATGATAAATCCTTTGTAACACGAGGTTAATCCCCTTAACGCCATTATACTTCACCTAAAGCATATTACCGCTGGTTTAATCCTAACTTCCATTAATAAATTCATGTTCTTGTATACATGTAGTTTTAATATTTAATTGGAATTAATAATAATAATAATAATAATAATAATAATAATAATAATAATAATAATAATAATTAATACGCCAATGGAAGAGTAAGTGAAACGTGGGTTGCATTCACCGTAGACTTTCAGACTCAAACGAAATTCCCCTCCTCGTCGGTTCGTTGGCTCTATCACTTAAACATCTCATTTTTTCAGTTGTTTTACTTCACTTTTATTATTATTTACACTCATTCTTTTATATTTTGGTGCATGTTTCATCCCGTACCCCTCATCCATCATCACTCATCTCTCATTCCGTACTCCTCATCCATCATCACTCATCTCTCATTCCGTACTCCTCATCCATCATCACTCATCACTCATCCATCACCCCCTCATCTTTTACCCCTCACCTCTCCTCCCTTAACTCTCACGTCTCTCTCACTCTCTTATTTCTTCGCTGTCTCTTCCTTTAATGTTTCTCTTCATTTAAGTGTTTCTTCCGTCTTTTATATAATCTCTCTCTCTCTCTCTCTCTCTCTCTCTCTCTCTCTCTCTCTCTCTCTCTTAATTTACTCACACTCACCGTCTTATTTCCTCTGTTGTGGACGATACAATGGAGGTAAGCAATGTCATCCTTCAGAGCCGTCACGTTCTGGGGAGGTGACGGGTCAAACATTGGCCCTGGGGAGTTAGGTTCCCATGGTAGGGGTCGCCTCTCTCCCCCAGGGTTGAGGGAAGGGTCTGGGGGGATCCGACTTTTCACTCCGTTCGAGTAGTAGCTGGCGGCTAGAAGTTTACCACACGCCGGAGTTCCTGTGACGAGGGAGACAAGAAGAGAAAGAAAATGGTTTAGTTGTATTTTGATAGGGGATACTTTTCTGTTATTTCTAATTTATTTGATGTAATTTTATATATATATTTTTTTTAGTATCTTAGATTATCCTATGTATTTTTTTTACATAATATTCATATAATTTTTTTTATATTCAAGTATTATAAAAAAACTTAGATAATATTATACCTTGTAGTAATATTTTAAATAAACTTTCTCTCTCTTTTCATGATAAAAAGTTAACTTAGGTTGTTAAGAATAGTTTTAGAAGAAAATTAGATTGAGTAATTATTAAAAACAAAATTATTAATTTGGGATATAACTTAAACCATCGTCCTCAAACTTTAATAAAATTGTGAAAATGCAGAAAAAAAAAATTCCGTCAACTTATTATTGTTGCAAGAATACAAAAAATAAATAAAACAAAATTAAAAAGAAATTTTGTTTGATAGACAACGTCTTCACCAGGTGTGTGTGTGTGTGTGTGTGTGTGTGTGTGTGTGTGTGTGTGTGTGTGTGCATAAAAGCTGTTCCTTATCTTTTATTTTACTTAACTTTTGTCTTTAATGTCTGAAGTATTTTGCCTCGCCTTTTTTAATTATCTTTACATAGCAATAAGAAATTGTAAGTTATTTTTCCATAAAGTAATTACAAGTTGTTTTCTGAATAAGATTTTTTTAAGTCGTATGAGTTCAATTGTTCTTTCCTTTAATCGTGAACTTCAATGTGGAGGAATATATTTTTATCAACGTCAGAATTTCTGTCCAAAAATACAAAAGACTCATAATATATTTTATTTCATCCGATAATTTACTCCAGGAGAAAAATAAATTATTGAAGATGATTGAATGGTTCATGATTTTTTTAATTATAGGAATTTGTATTTGAGAGAATATTAATAAATTTAATAGAAATACATTTATTATTAGAATCAAGAGAATAAATTTGTATATTTCTGAGTCACGAATAAATCTCTAAAGGTAATACTTGATATATTAAAAGTACAGGTGTGTGTGTGTGTGTGTGTGTGTGTGTGTGGGTGGTCAGTCACTAAAGAAATCACCTCGTGATTCAGTCAGTCAATCACTCAATAAGAAATTCAGTCTCTAAGTCAGTCAACCAACTATCTTTTCAGTCAATTAGTCTGTCAGTCAGTCAGCCAGTCAGTCAGTCAATCATTGAATCACTCGGTCAATAAGTCGCCTGTCGGTCAGACAGTCAGTCGGTCAGTCAGTCAGTCAGCCAATCAGTCAGTCAATCAGTCAATCGCTAGATTATTATTTCAGTCAACAAGTCAATCAGACAATCACTCACTCAGTCAATTAGTCAATTTGTCATTCTTTCAGTCAATCACTAAATGAGTCACTCAGTCAATTATTCAGTCAAGTCAGTCAAGTCAGTCAGTAAGTCAGTCAGGTTAGTCACTCACTGAACGCACTAACGCAGCCAAAAGCTCTACCATTTTTCGCTCGCTTTTCACCAATTCATCTGACATTCTTTTTTTAAACTTTTGTCAGCGTAATTAAAACCTTTTTTTTTACGTCAAATACTTACTGACACAACAACTGAAAGCTCTCCCAATGGTCGTTTTTATTCACCTGTATTTTGGTCGTTTTTATTCACCTGTATTTTGGTCGTTTTTATTTACCTGTATTTTGGTCGTTTTTATTCACCTGTATTTTGGTCGTTTTTATTCACCTGTATTTTGGTCGTTTTTATTTACCTGAATTTTGGTAGTTTTTATTCACCTGTATTTTAGTCGTTTTTATTCACCTGTATTTTATTGTTTGGGTCGTTTGTATTTGGTATCCATTAAATTATATTCTCTGTTTTAACTTCTAGAATATTTAGGTGTTTCTTTATTTGTTTCTTTTTTTTGTTTCTGTCTGTCTGTCTGTCATTCCATCTATCCATCTATCCATCTACCCATCCATCTATCCATCTATCCATCTACCCATCCATCTATCCATCTATCCATCTACCTGTTATTCAATATATCTCTCTATCTATGTGGCCTTTTTATGTATTTGTCTATTGATATTTTGTGTATATATTCTGTGCTTATATTCCTCACAAATTCGTATAATTTGTGCTTAGGATAACTTTTTGATCTGTCTGTCTGCCTGTCTGTCTGTTCGTCTGTACAGTTGTGTATCTGTCTGTCTGCCTGTCTGTCTGTTCGTCTGTACAGTTGTGTATCTGTCTGTCTGTTTGTCTGTCTGTTCTTTTATATATTGGAAACGTTCACTCGAATGACGGAAACGGATATTGTTTTTCTCTCTCTCTTTTGTCTTTCACACTTTCACATTCTCTCTCTCTCTCTCTCTCTCTCTCTCTCTCTCTCTCTCACTAACACACCAATTCACACCATTCTTTTCTTTCTCTCTCATCTATTTAGTTCCCTCTCACTCCCCTCTCATTAACACCTACACATTAATGTTCACTCCCACTCACTACCTCATTATACACTTCCAGAAATAAGAAAGTATTGTTGCAGTTACTCACAACACTTTTCTATATTTACTTTCATTATACACAGAAACTCGTGTTAATGTTATTGCCCTCTTACGCTATTGTTATTATTATTATTATTATTATTATTATTATTATTATTAGTAGTAGTAGTAGTAGTAGTAGTAGTAGTAGTAATAATATCAGTAGTAGTAGTAGTACTATTATTACAGTATATCCAAGTTGTAATATTGTTGCCTTACTCCATAGAAAACGATGGTTCTTACGTCTCTCTAAATTAAGAGGACAAACAATTCATTTCTCAGTAACACGAGACACCGTAACGTTAGCTATATATATTCTTAAAAGTGACTACTACTACTACTAACAACAACAACAACAACAACAACAACAACAACAACAACAACAACAACAACAATAATAACAACAATAATAATAATAATAATAATAATAATAATAATAATAATAACAATAATAATAACAATAATAATAACAATAATAATAATAATAATAATAATAATAATAATAATAATAATAATAATAATAGCGCAAGAGAGCAATAACATTAACATGAGTTTCTGTGTATTATGAAAGTTAATATAGGAAAGTGTTGTGAGTAAGTGCAACCATACTTTCTTATTTCTGTAAGTGTATAATGAGGTAGTGAGTGCGAGTGGGAGTGAATATATACTTAAGGTGTATATATATACATCTATGAATTAAAGCAGTTGACATAAATGTTTAAAATACCTCAGAAAAACAAGTTGTTTACAGCCAGAATAACCGGATATAGCCGGATTGTGAGAATCTCCCGGATGTAGAGAAAATAAATGAGTTTTATTGTGTGTGTGTGTGTGTGTGTGTGGCTGTGTGTGTGTGTGTGTGGCTGTGTGTGTGTGTGTGTGTGTGTGTGGCTGTGTGTGTGTGTGTGTGGCTGTGTGTGTGTGTGTGTGTGTGGCTGTGTGTGTGTTTTGTGTGTGGCTGTGTGTGTGTGGCTGTGTGTGTGTGTGGCTGTGTGTGTGTGTGTGTGTGTGTGTGGCTGTGTGTGTGTGTGTGTGTGTGTGTGTGTGGCTGTGTGTGTGTGTGTGTGGCTGTGTGTGTGTGTGTGTGTGTGTGTGGCTGTGTGTGTGTGTGTGTGGCTGTGTGTGTGTGTGTGTGTGTGTGTGGCTGTGTGTGTGTGTGTGTGGCTGTGTGTGTGTTTGTGTGTGTGTGTGTGTGTGTGTGTGTGTGTGTGTGTGGCTGTGTGTGTGTGTGTGTGTGTGTGGCTGTGTGTGTGTGTGGCTGTGTGTGTGTGTGTGTGGCTGTGTGTGTGTGTGTGTGGCTGTGTGTGTGTGGCTGTGTGTGTGTGTGTGTGGCTGTGTGTGTGTGTGTGGCTGTGTGTGTGTGTGGCTGTGTGTGTGTGTGTGGCTGTGTGTGTGTGTGGCTGTGTGTGTGTGTGTGTGGCTGTGTGTGTGTGTGTGGCTGTGTGTGTGTGTGGCTGTGTGTGTGTGTGTGTGTGTGTGTGTGGCTGTGTTTGTGTGTGTGGCTGTGTGTGTGTGTGTGTGTGTGTGTGGCTGTGTGTGTGTGTGTGTGGCTGTGTGTGTGTGTTTGTGTGTGGCTGTGTGTGTGTGTGTGTGACTGTGTGTGTGTGTGTGGCTGTGTGTGTGTGTTTGTGTGTGGCTGTGTGTGTGTGTGTGTGTATGTGTTTCTCTACCTATATACTACCACTATTACGGTCATCAGGCCGCCGCCACCCAAATATTCTTGTTGTTTCTTTCCGATAATGAAACGATGCGTAACTTATGTTAGCTGAACACACACACACACACACACACACTCGCGACGCAAAAACATATACACACAGATACACACACACACGCACACACACACGCACACCTTAGCTTCAAGAGCTAAGTATTGAAAATGACAGCTGTTAAAGCAATAATATTTCTCAATTATTGACTCTCTTGAGACAAATTTTTATATGTGTGTGTGTGTGTGTGTGTGTGTGTGTTCTACCTTCTGCATGCATATGTGTGAATAAATGTATGAGTGTATTTTCATGTGTGTATTTTTTCTGTGTGCATGTACTTATGTATTTCATCTTCGTAATATATACTGTACACCTTTATATACAAAATTCTCCCGTCACTCATTCCCATAAATATACTTTCACATATTATTTTTTATATATTATAATCTTTAAAATTTACAATAAATTCTATTACGTAAAGTAAGAAACCTTCCTAGTTCCTCCATCAGTATTTAAACAACATTAGTAGTAAAAATTTTGTAACACGATATAAAAAGAAACACGTAAGTTAATTTGGGGTAATTATCTCTGGCAACTCGACCAGACTGGTGGTGCCATCTGGTGGTCGTGGAGGAAATTAGCCTCAGTGTTGCCATCTCGAGCTTATTGCATTAAACTTCGAGGTTCCCCCAAAACAAAACAAAATACAAAGCCAAAAAATATATATACTGCACTCTGGCTGGTTCTCTGTTTTCA